TATATGGTAGAACAGACGGTTTTTTATAAAAATTATGTGGGAGGGGCTGGCAGGTGGCATGGTGGTTAAGGGTGATGGACTTCCACATGGCTGACTGTGGCTTGAGTTCCGAACCTGGCGGCTTGCTCTCTCACTTACTGACTTGAGTTCCGAACCTGGCGGCTTGCTCTCTCTTACTGATTCTCTCTGGTCAAATTAAAAAATAATAATAAAGTTGAATAAAACAATTCTTTTATAAAACAAAATGTGGGAGGGGACCAGCAGATGGCACAATGGTTACACAGCTGGACTTCCATGTACTTAACCGTGGTTCAAGCCTGGCAGCTTGAAACTCACTTCAGGTGTTGTGCTGGAGATCCTGAAAAGACAGGGGGGGAGAAGGAAATGTGGTGTAGCCATCTTCCCTGGGGGGTGATTTTTTGCTTTCTGCCCCTGTTTCTGGCCAGTGCTCCCGTTCTATAGCAAATATCTCTCTTAAAAAAGAAATCATGTGGAAAAACAAATTACATTAGATTTCCATAGGCTTAAAGTTTCTGAGAGACAAAATTAGATGATACTAACATCATTTTTGGTAATCATGAAGGTTTTGAGTACCCTGACTGTTATGGCTTTAAAATAACTTCCTATTTCTACTTTATCTTAACATAGGTTGTCAAAAAATATGACGACAAAATCCCCCAACTACTATGGATAACTCATAATGAATACTCTGGTTAGAGCATATGAAATTACCACAACGAGCTGGAAACAAACCTTGATCTGACAGCTGTCACAAAAGAAAAATAGAAAGTAGTAAATCAGTTGTGAAGCCTGACCTCTCCCATTCATTCTTTTGATGGGAAGGCTGTAAGTGTGGCAGTCCAAGGTCAAAATAATCTTGGACATCCTCAATAACCTCATGGGCCAATAATTCCTTGATACACTTGTGGTATATTGATTAAAAGGTAAAGAAAACAACATGTCTTAAATAAATATGAGAAATTTTAACCTCTTAACAAGAGAACAGAGTTTCTTCACTTAGAGCGAGGATTTCAGGAGGCCTTCATCACCGCAGAAAGGCAGCTTAGAAAATTCCCTAAACAGGGCAGTTACGACGTCAGAATCACAAAATAGCTTTTAAAAGTGATAAGGGGGGTATAAAGACTCCAAGCTAAGTTACCTAACTATGAAGACAATTTTTCACTATTTTAAGAGTTTCAATTTCACTTCTCAATGTTCAGAGAGATACCTAGTATGTACATTTTTGTGAACTGTGGTGTGGCCATTTCCCTGAAGGGTGATTCCTCACTGTCTGCCTGTCTCTCTCTCCAGTGAGTGCACACGCCTTACAGCAAAAATCTCTCTCAATGATTAATTAACTAATTAAGTAAGGATGTAAAGGCATTTAAATGACATTCTTTAAGTACATTAATCATCTTTTCCCAGAATTTTCTGTGTCTTTCCTCTCTAAAATAATCTACCTTTCCTCTACATGTGACACATGCATTTCAAAGATATTCTTGTAATTTGGACACTTAAGTATTTTTGTTAAAATACAAACAGTAAGTATAGTGTCATAATTGCATTATTAGTTTGTTAAAAGAGACTATGCCCTATGGATAAATTCACAATGTCAAAGAAACTCAGATTTGTACATTTGACTTTGAAATTTCTATTGTTAAAAAGAAACATTCTGTTTAAAAAGTCACCCATTTAAAGGTGTCTGGAATCCTACTCAAGGATTCCATTGCTACTTACTTCAGATATGTAATCAATTATAAATGGACCTGAAATTCTAAGAATTCTAAGAATCAGAGCATAGCATTCATTATATTCTTTATCAGAAATACCATGAGTAAAATAAAGTGTTGTGGACTGAAATGAAGATGTTAACCTAGAAATTGCACACTGACTTCCAATATACTTTCTACCTTATAAGAGACAAATGGGGCATGGTAAGCTTAGACTCACTTTAAGTAACATTAACCACATAGCTAATTGATAACTTCAAGTATTTTTAATTCAAGTGTTATAAAGACAAGTCTATTTGTGAAATAAGCTAAATTAGTAAAAACAGTATTACCTATGACACAAATGACTATAGAGTCTTCAAATTCTCTGAGAAGACCAAAGAGAAAAGAGCACTGAATAATTTTGAGTAAGTGGAGAAAAACACAGCCAGAGAACAAGTCCTCCAACACAGGGTCTCACGGTGAGGTTTCAGGCCCCCTGAAATCCTCACTCTAAGTGAAGAGACTGTTCTCCTAAGGAGCAGGCTATCTTCACCATCTTTGGAAACAGAGTAAGTGAAAGGAGAGTCCTCTTCCTTCATTCAGTACCATCATGAAGTTAAACTGTGGTATTCTTTGACTCTAACTAACGTGATCAAATCCAGAAAAACTCTGAAACTACTGAGAATTATTAACACAGGTATTTAATATAAAGATGATGAAGATTTACTATATGCCAAGCACTGTAGTAATGCATTACATTTTTAACCTTTAATCTTCACAAATACTCTGGGATAGGAAATATTTTATGGATGAAATTTAGTTAGGAAGTTTAAGTAACTTTTTCAAGTTACAGAGAAAATAAAAGGCAGAACCTTTAAGATATTGTGACTATTGTTCCTACACATTGCTACATCTCTTTTAGTTTACAAATAAGTTAGGGCAAACATTTGTCCTCAGTTTTTAAATCGATATACTAAGATGGCTGTACACTTCTGGGTGATGTGTCTGTAGTCTAACACAAATTTATCAAAATTGATTACAATAAGCAATAGCTGATAGGAAGTTTAGCTGCTAATAAACTCATTTAGAAACAAATTAGAACAATTCTTCCTGAGCCTTTTCCCCTGAACTTTACCAAAAAAGGGGAGGGATACATCTGATAACTTCATGTCAATGATCAAACCAGTTAAAGTAACACATATTAAAAATAACATAAAATTTCTGCAAGTCGGCAACTGGTAAAAGGGAAGACAGTGTATTTAGGGAAAACAACATATTCTGACACTTTTTTTTTAATAGAAACATTTTAATAGAAAGTGCTATATAAATATAGGGCACTTTGTTTTAACAGACTAAAACCAGGTGAAAGTAAATAATATAGTCAATATTCTGACCATTCATGTCATTAAAAATACTATTGGATAAGGCCTTTGGTGAGTACAATGAACATTAAAAATTAGTTATTGGGACAGCCCCTTGGCATAGTCGTTAACGGGGCCAGATACCACATGGCTGGGCTATGGTGTGAATGCCGGCCCCAATGGCTTGAAAAAACATGCCAGGTTTGTGTGCATGTGTGCCCCAAGTCCTGAAAGGATATCGAAGTGGAGGAGAAAGGACTGCCATGTGATCACATCCCTTACTCGGTGCTTTCTCCTCTCTCTCTGGTAATTAAAAAAAAAAAAAAAAAAAAAAAAAAAAATATAAAAAAATACAAAACT